TCGGTACAGGAGCATTTTTTTGGCCGCCACGATACTCGTTTGCTGTCGCCGGACTTCTAGCCCGGCCGTCCCGGACTAGCCCTCTCTCACTCCTACTCGCAGTTGGCGGCGGCCGTCCAGGACTGGCCCTCCCTTGCTCTCACTCGCAGCTGGCGGAGGCGGGGCACGCTCCAGCCACCTGTCCCGGGCGGGAGGGGTGAGGCCGGCTGAGCCGAGCGGCAGCCCCGCCCTGTCAGCACCTCTCCCGACCCACCGACTGCCCGGCTGCCTCAGGGCCGTACAGAAATATGGCGACCTCCTGACAGCCGCTCCTGGATCCCCGCCCCTAATTAATTCTTGGCGTTTGCCATAGGCCAGGACGCCGAGCGGGAAAGCGCGAGGGAGTGGGGGAGCCGGGCCCGTGGGGAGGGGCGGGGATGAGGCAAGAAGAGCGAGAGCATGTATGGGATTTCTGGGAGTCCCACTGGGGCTGCATGACTAACCGGCAGGATAAGACAAGTCTTTCAAGTTCTAAAGACTACGGTTTTGCTATCTGGGAAGATAGCAGGCTCCCGTGATTGGAAAACATTCGGACTATTCCGCCTCAAATGCCTCCAGCAGCACTCAGAGCTTTCTAGAAGACAATCGGCAAACTATAGCCAAAGTCTTCCAAGCGTGCAGGAAGACTGTTTATAAAATAATCATTTAGTGACGTAGAAAAATATTCATGAGGGAAATGAAAGAAACAAGAGGTTACAACATATTGTGTAATGCGTGATACTTTTTATCGGAAAAACAATATATATGTATGCACGTATGCATATACATATACATACGTGCATACTCATATATACAATACATATTTGTGTATATATATGTACACAGATTAAAAAATGAAAAACCCTTGATAGCCCTAGCGCAGTGATTTATGCTTGTAATCCCAGCATGTTGGGAGGCCAAGGTGGGAGGATCCATTGAGGCCAGGAGTTCGAGACTAGCTGGGCCGCATACGGAGACCCAATTCTCCAAAAAGTGTACAAAGAAGAGTGAAAAACACTTAATAGTTATCAAGATGATTTATTTGAATCTGGAATTAGGAGTTTTTCCCTTTTTCCTTATCTGCATTTTCTAATATTTATACTCTAGCATACACTGATTATAGAAAAATATACTTTTAATTTCCAAAATATATAACTTTCTATGGAATGGATAAACTATAATTTATTTGGCCATTCCTCTATGTCTTAAATTTTTTTTTATTTTGATAATACAAAAAAAAAGCTGCCTCAGATACCCTTATGTGCATGTCATTAATTTATGGTAATTTTATTTCTTTTTCTTTTTTTTTTTTTTTCCAGTTTTTGGCTGTGGATCTCCTTTTATTCTGTCCCTAGCTGGAGTTCCTTCCAATCTTCCTGTCTTTCTTGCTTCCTTTTTATTTTATTTTTTTTATTTTAAAGGTGTGGGGTACAATTCAGGGTTAGATATACAAATGTTGATTATGCAGGTACCCTTGTTGTTGAGGTGTGCCCCTCCCTCCCCTTGGCAGTTTCCCTCAACTGGCAATCCCACACCACCTCTGCTGGAAGTTTCCCACTACTGCTAATACCTTTCTTATAGTAATATGATAATTGTTCAAGGTCCGCTTATGAGTGAGAACATATGGTACTCTGTTCTTTGTTTCTGTGATAGATCACTGAGTATGATCGACTCTAAATACATCCAAGTTGCTGGGAAATGCTTCTTTATGGCTGTATAATATTCCTTTGTGTATAGGCACCACATATTTTTTATCCAGTGCAGCTTCAATGGACAACACGGTTGGTTCCATGTTTTTGCTATTGTGAATACAGCTGCAACAAACATACATGTGCAGGTATCTTTTTTGTTGAATGATTTCAGTTCCTCCGGGTATATTCCCAATAGGGAAATTGCTGGGTCATATGGAAGGTCAATTTCTAGTTCTTTCAGAAATCGCCACACTGTCTTCCAAAGAGGTCACACTCGTTTGCATTCCCACCAGCAGTGTAGAAGCATTCCCTTTTATCTGCATTCTCGCCAGCATCTGTTGTTGTTTGTTTTATGAATGATGGCCAGTCTTACTGGGGTTAGGTGGTATCTCAAAGTGGTTTTGATTTGTATTTCTCTGATGATGAGTGAGGCTGAACACTTTTTCATGTGTCTGTTGGCTGCCCGTACATCTTCTTTTGAGAAGTGTCTATTCATATCTTTTGCCCACTTTTCAATGGGGCTATTTGTTTTTTTTCCTGTCAACACATTTGAGTTCCTTGTAGACCTGGATGTTAGGCCTTTGTCAGATATACAGTTGGCAAGTATTTTTTCCCATTCTGTGGACTGTCTCCTTGCTCTCTTAACAGTTTCTTTTGCTTTGCAGAAGTTCGTCAGTTTGATGAGGCCCCACTTGTCTATCTTATTTCTCATGGTATGGGCACTTAGGTTTCCGATCAGGAATTGGTTGCCAGTTCCAATTTCCATAAGGGTGTCTCCTGTGTTTTCTAATATTCTTATAGTTTGAGGTTTTGTGTTCAGGTCTCTGATCCATTTAGAGTTAATTTTTGTGTATGGTGATAGGTAGGGGTCCTGTTTCAATATTCTGCATGTGATCAGCCAGTTTTCCCAGCACCATTTACTGAATAGGTTCTCCTCTCCCCAGTGGTTGTTGGTGCAGACTTTGTCAAAGATGAGTTGATTGAGAAATTGAGACTTTGCTTCTGGAATCTCTATCCTGTTCCATTGGTCTATGTGCCTGCTCTTGTACCAATACCAGGCTGTTTTGATTACTTTAGCCTGATAGTAAAGTTTGAAGCCTGGGAGTGTAATACCTCCGGTTTTGTTTATTTTGCTAAGGATTGTTTTGGCTATTCATGGTCGTTTATGTTTCCATATGAATTTCTGTATTGTCATTTCCAGGTCTGAGAAGAATGATGTTGGTGACTTGATGGGTATTGCGTTGAATCTGTAGATTGCCTTTGATAGGATGGACATTTTAACAATGTTGATTCTTCCTATCCACGAGCATGGAATATTTTTCCATTTGTATGTGTCTTCTTGGATTTCTTTGAGCAGTGTTTTGTAGTTCTCTTTTTAAAGGTCTTTCACTTCTCTGGTTAGAAAGATGCTGAGATATTTCTTTTTGTTTGGGTCTCTGCCTGCTTGTTGTTGGTGAATAGGAATACAACTGTCTTTTACACATTTATTTTGTACCCTGAGATTTTGCCAAAGTCCTTTATCAGTGCAAGCAGGTTTTTGACAGATTCTCTAGGATTTTCAAGGTATAGGATCACATCATCAGCAAAGAGGGATAACTTGACTTCCTCTTTTCCTATTTGGATAGCCTTGATTTCCTTCTCTTGTCTAATTGCCCTAGCTAGAACTTCCAACACAATGTTTAACAAGAGGGGTGAGAGTGGGCAGCCTTTCTTGTTCCAGTTTTCAGGAGGAAATGTTTCCAGTTTCTGTCCATTTAGCAATATGTTAGCTGTGGGTTTATCATTTAGCAATATGTTAGCTGTGGGTTTATCACTTACTATTTTGAGGTATGTTTGAGGGTTTACTGGATTTTATCAAAAGCTTGTTCTGCATAATGATATAATCATGTGGTTCTTGTTTTTACATCTGTTGGTGTATTTAATTACATTTATAGTCTTGTGGATGTTGAACCAGTCCTGCATCCTGGGGATGAAGTCTACTCGGTCATGGTGGATGATTTTTGAGATGTGTTTTGGGATACAATTTGCTAAAATCTTGTTGGAGATTTTTGCATCTATGTTCATAGGGGATATTGGCCTATAGTTCTCTTTATTTGTTGGATCTTTACCCAGTTTGGGTATCAGCGTGATGTTAGCTTCATAAGACGATTTAGGGAGAATTCCATCTTTCTCAATTGCCTGGAATACTTTCAATAGGATTGATATTAGCTCTTCCTTGTACGTTTTGTAGAATTCTGCTGAAAAGCCATCTGGTCCAGGGTTGGGTTTTTTTTGTAGGTAGTTTTCCTATGATAGAATCAATTTCCTGGGTTGTTATTGGTCTATTTAGTGTCTTCTTGTTTCAATCCGGGGAAGTTGTGTGATGTCAGACAGTCCTCCATTTCATTTAGGTTATCAAGTTTGTTTCCATATAGGTATACATAGTAATCTCTGATAATCTTTCTTATTTCTTCAGCGTCAGTTGTGATTTGATCTTTTGTATTTCTTTCTTTTTTTTTTTTTTTTTGAGTTGGAGTCTCACTCTGTCGCCCAGACTGGAGTGCAGTGGCCGCTCCTGGCCACCACAACCTCAATCTGCTGGGTTTCAGCGATCCTTCCGCCTCAGCCTTCCGAGTAGCTGGAATTACAGGCGCGTGTTACCGCACCCAGCTGGTTTTCTGATTTATTGTAGAGATGAGGTCTCGCTGCCCAGGCGGGTCTCGAACCCGAGGGCTCAGGCAATTCACTCACCTCAGCCTCCCATGGGATTACAGGCTGAGCCACCAAGCCCGGCTGATCTTTTGTATTTCTGATTGTGTTTATTTGGGCTTTTTCCTCTCTTTTTCTTGGTCATTCTGACTAGGGGTCCATCAATCTTGTTAATTCTTTCAAAGAACCAGCTTTTTATTTTGTTGATGTTTTCTACGATACTTTTGACTTCTATATCTCATATTTGGGCTCTTATTTAATGAGTTGGATTCTTCTGCTAAAGTGGGGTCTTGGTGGTCTTCTCTTTCCAGCTCTCTTAGGTGATTTGTCAGGCTTTCAAATTGTGATCTTTCCATTTTCTTGATGTGTGCTCGTAGAGATATAAATTCCCCTCTTAGAACTGATTTCATGGCATCTCAGATGTTTTGTTAAGATATTTTCTCCTTTTCATTTGTTTCCAGGGATCTTTTAATTTCTGCTTTGATTTCAGTGCTG